CCGCCGCCACTCCCCACACTGCCCAAAGGGCCCCCCCACTCGCACAACCCCTTGCGCAAACGCGTCAAACGCATTCACGCGCGTTCAGTGAACGCCCGTTCACGCGCGGTAACACATGTCTGTCGCGTAAAAGGTTGTGCGGCAATGTCCCTCAGCAACAAACTTAGGCAGTGTGCTGCACACGGGATCCAGGGAATGCGATGAACAACACGATCTGTGTGTGGCTGCAACATGTTCGCCGCAGTCTTCATGACCTCGGCGTTGTCTGCGCATATCGCATTGACATCTGAATGCTAATGTCATTTTGAATAACGTCCTCCCAGATCTCCGCTAAGCTAACGCCGGTTTTGTCACGATGCGACATGTCGATCGTCCGAATGAGGATGGGTTCAGACTCCCCTGCCACGATGAAGTTCATAATGGGCTTCTTTGTCGTGTCTGTAGCCCCGTCCGTCATCAACGTGCAGCCGGAAACAGCCCACTTTGCCTTCTTAGGGGCAATAAGGGTTGCGACCTCATGGAAAATAATATCTAACATCCTCATTCGAACCCCCTCATACGACATAAGTCGTGGAACTGGGACTATCGTGGGACGGAATAGAGTGCATATGTAGTCCCACAACTGCTGCGTCCCAGCGAACCGCAGCTAGTTGAAGGCCACTCCGCTACGATAGATAGCAAGGGCCCACAACCAATCAAGATCCATCTGGATCCTGTTCCCTATATCTGGAACCAGAGTCAACTACCGCATCGACACTATGGATGTGGAGGCAGGGACCCTATTAACACTACATCCACCTGTTTGATAAGCGCCGCCCACACCTCTGACACCTCCTCCTCCACGGGGTAACGCGTCCTCAAAACCCGTAGGTTGAGTGTCGTCTCGTGCCCTACCACCACGCTGACAATCTGGATTCAAATAGTCCGCCAGTCTGATTGTCCTCCCACCGACATCGCCACCATCCGATCCTCTACCATGCAAGGGTGCCCCAGGCTGCAACTGCTCTGCCTCTCCACCCCCCTCCGCCTCGGAGTCCATGTACTGATGGAGGTTGTCCGCAGCCATATCACCCTCCAACCTCTCCGCGTACTTCGAAGCAAGGCGCTGCGAGATGGCATCCTTAAGGACTGTCCCTACACTTTGCAACTTGTACAAAATATTTGCACTCCACCGCGAGTAGTGTGTCTTCTGCTTCGTGAAGTGCTCAACTATACGAGACCTAGAACCGGTGAAAACCTCCTGACATAGGCGGCAACGAATAAGGAAGTTGCCCTCACCTTCCTTCCCCCACTCCTGGCCCATCTCGACACACTCCCACACTACATGACCGCGCCTAAAATTATCTTGCTTGTGCTTGGGTGCAGGTTCAAATGGTGGCAGTGGGGCCCCTCTACGTCGTGTACTGTCGGATGCCATAGCTCGCAAAAGGTCCTGTACTCCACAGAGCGACGACTGGTCTGCGTCAGCTGCATGAAAAAAAAAAAAAAAAAAGGGCAAACAATTACAAATGGCGTCGTATAGGGATGAAATGTTTGTTTATTCAGTAATGTAATGTTAGTTCCTTAAACTTTCTTTATCATTTCCTCCTCCATCTCCTTCTCTTTCTGCCTCCATATCCTCTTTCTCCATGTCTTCCACCTCCATCCCCTGGTCCTCCATCTCCACCTCCTTCATCTGTTCCTGCATTTTCTCCGCCACCATCTACTCCTCCTCCATGTCCTCCTCTACCATCGACTCCTCCTCCATGTCCTCCTCCACCATCTACTCCTCCGCCATGTCCTCCATGTCCTCCACCATCTACTCCTCCATGTCCTCCACCATCTACTCCTCCATGTCCTCCCCCACCATCTACTTCTCCTTCACCATCCTCCATGCTCCTCCACCATCTAGCTCTCCTCCATGTCCTCCACCATCTACTACTCCTCCATGTCCTCCACCATCTACTCCTCCTTCATATCCTCCTCGACCGTCTTCTCCTCCTCCATGTCCTCCATGCTCCTCCACCATCCACTCCTCCTCCATGTCCTCCACCATCTACTCCTCCTCCATGTCCTCCTCCATTTCTTTCACACCTCCTCTATCTCCTCCTTCATCTTGTCCTCCATCTTCTACCCCTCCTCCATTTTCTCCTCCTCCTTCCCCTCTCTTCCTCGTGTATGCTGTCCTCATCCTATGTCTCCTCCTCCAACTCCTCGTCCATCTCCTCCTCCTCCATCTTCTCCTCCCACATATACTTCTCCTACATCTCCTACTCCTCCTCCATTTTCTCCTCCTCCTCCATCCCCTACCCCACCTCTTGTACCTCCTCCTCCAGCTCTTACTCCACCATCTTCTTCTTGTTCATCGTGTACCCCTCCTCCATCCCCTACTCCTCCTCTATCTTGTCCTCTTCCTCTCTCTCGACCCTTGTCTCCTCCTCCATCTCCTCCACCTCCTCCATCTTCTCCTCCTTCATCTTGTTTGCGTACGTCTCTTACTCCTCCAATTTGTCCTCCTCCATCTCCTCCTCCCCTATCGCGTCTAGATCCATCTCCTCCTCCCCTATCGCGTCTAGATCCATCTCCTCCTCCCCCATCTCCTTTTCCCCCTATCTTGCGGGCGGGTGATTGATTGATTGATTGATTGATTGATTGATTGATTGATTGATTGATTGATTGATTGATTGATTGATTGATCGATTAATTGATTGATTGATTGGAGGCGGGTGATGGTGGAGGAAAAGGCGGGCGAAAGAAGAAGAAGAAGAA